CTTTCGCTATACTCGTCCTTCTGCGCGAAACTCTGGACACTCGAGTCTTCGATGATGAATTTAACCCTCTGGTAGAAGGAGGCGGTCACGGCAGGAGGCTGCTTCCTCAGGAGGACTTCTACAGGATCGCTGGACACCATGCACATGACGTGGTCCGTGCATGCCTTGGTCGAACAGCATTCGGAGTCCGAGCAGTCGAAGAGCCCGTCTGCGGAAGAGGTGGTTCGGTTGTTAGGAAATGAAAGGTTCGGTGGTTGAGAAAATGGGTTGTTCAGTTGTTAAGAAATGGGTGGTTTGGTGGTTGAGAAAATGGCTGGTTTGGTTGTTAGGAAATGGGTGGTTCGGTAGTTGAGAAAATGGGTGGTTCGGTTGTTAGGAAATGGGTGGTTCGGTGGTTGAGAAAATGGGAGGTTCGGTAGTTAGGAAATGAGTGACTCGGTAGTTGAGACAATGGGTGGTTCGATGGTCACAAAATTGGTATGGTGATGAGGTGATGATAGAGTGATAGAGTGACTTGCGAGGGAAGTCATGAAGGTGATGCGAAAGATGGTGTGAAGGGGGGAAGATGATAGTGTAGGGAAAATGGGGAGAATGGAGAGGAGGATGGTGATGCGAGAGATGCTGTCAAAAGGGGAAGATGATAGTAAAACCAGAGATGGTGTGAAGGGAGAGGAGGGCGGTGATGCGAGCGATTTCATGGTGCGGGATGAAGGAGGTGACTCAGTGAATAGAATGTTGCGATGAACATGGGAGCTAGCGGTTAAGGTCATGCGAGTATTTAATAATACTAAAGACAATCTTCATAATAATAATCATAACATGAAAGCAGCAAGAATAATAATAATGCTAATGTAAAAGACGCAACTATCATTACTGTTATCATTATCCTTATTACACCACTAGTAATACAAACATCACAACGATAAAATGTATACAAAACGATAATGGAATTTTCAAAGCAAGCGCATGAAAACTTTTATTCTATCAGCTCTGTCAATCACGAATTGATTTACTTTAATTCTAGGCGACAGATGACTACGTTTTGCTTTAAGAAAGCTTCTAAAAAAAATCCGAATTTTGTAAAATTCAAGTATGCAATTAAGACAATCCTATCTATCATTCTTATCTTTTTCTTTTTTATAAGAATTTTAAATCTCAGAGTGCCAAGAATGGAATAAAAAGATATTAATTCAAAGAACAGGTTGTTTTAATGCATTGGATTTGTAATAACAGTCTTTTTTCTCTCTGGCAGTAAGACTTAAAGGATTATATGAAAAAATAAAAGCAATGTGGATTTAATTAAAGAAACGAAAAAAATAAAAAAAAAGTGATGAAATAGAACAGAGGAAAAGAGAAAATGGCCGATGAAAAGTGAATGAACGATAAGAATTAAAATCAACAAATGGTAAAGGAATGGAAAAGAAAATGACTATGATAAAACAAGAAATAAAAAAAGAAAGAAAGAAGGAAAAAAAATAGATGGATGTTGAAAGCAGAAGCAGAAGCAGACAAAGTTGTAAAAGAAAATGAGGAGAAGAAAAAAAAAATAGCTACAAAGCGAAGATGTAAAAGGGAATGAGAAAACACGAAATAAAAAAAGGAAGAAGAAGAAAAAAAAGATGAATGTTGAAAGCATAAACAGAAGCTGACAAAGTTGAAAAAAAGGAAGAGGAAGAAAGAAAACCTGATAAAAAGCGAATAAACAAAAGAGAATAGATATAATCTCGGAAGTCCAAAATCAACGAATACGAAGAAAAAGAAAAGAAAAAAACAAACATACATATTGACGGAATAAAATGGAAAAGCAGAGAAACCGACAAAATTAATGGAACAGAGAATGAAAGAAAGAAGACTTAATAAGATTCGAATAAACTGAAAGAAGGAGAGATAAAAGGAAAACTTGATAATGTGTCACAAAGGCGTTGGTAAGAATTTAAATGAGCACTCAAACTGAGGTGACGAATGTACGTAAAAAGGGGAGAGAGAAAGATAGAAAGAACCAAGAAGGAGATAACAGAAATGGATGAAAGGAGGAGAAAGAGAGAGAAAACAAAAGAAAGGAAAAGAAAGAATGAAAGAAAAAACGAGAGATAACAGAAATGGATGAGAGGAGGAGAAAGAGAAAGAAAAAGAAAGAAAGGAAAAAAAAATGAATAAAAAACAACAACAAATAAGAGACAACAGAAATTGAAGAAACATCAACATCGCTGTTATCAACTTATCTCAGAAAATAAATTCTTACAACTATTTCCAATTTTGAGAAATTAGTACTGTGTGCACATTCGGACGCAACTAACATATGCACGTAAGCATGTGTATAGTGTATGTGAATAGCTGCGTACACACATAAGTACGTATGTTTGTGTATGGCACACATGTCACTAAGTCAGTATATATGTACTGCACGCATAAGGTTCGTACCGTACGCGTGTGTCTGTCACTACCTATGCACATAATTCAATACATAACCACGTACGTATGTATCTACTTACGCACTTATGTCCGTATATATATGTACATCCTATACCACTATCTACCCACAGAAACCCATACAAATCCAACCAGCATATGATTCCCTTAACATCACAACCCACGCAGAAACATACACATAAACGAAATATATACAAACACATACAAACATTTCAAATCACAACGCGAGCATAGAAGAGTCCCCCTTAATACAGCATTACCAACCCCGCACGCCCTCGAAATCCTCTTTAATACATACTCAAAACAGCGTTGCAAAATGGCAAATCCCTCACAAAACACATTTGCGGACTTAATCTCCTATTTTCCCAGCTCTCGGCCCCGATCATGCAGTGTTAAATACGTCACTTGGACGGGAGGAAGTGAGGTCTTAATATCCCTGGACGGAAGGACGATGATTGCGTATCTGTGTACTGATGAAATAAACAAATGTGTGAATGATGAACAGATGAATAAAACAAAACAGATAACCAGCTTAAAGCAAATGAACACATACAAGCAACCCGTGAACAACAGTGAACAGAATCGAGCCAAAGCGACTTTCCAAACAGATAAAAAAGGCAAAGAACATCTCCCGGCCAGTGATTACGAAATACAACATTCCTCTCCTTGCTTTATTAGATGGAGATATCTGAATAAACAGTCGGCCAGAGGGGGGCGGGGGGGTGGAAAGGGGATAGGGGGTAGGAGGGAGGAGGAGGAGGGGGGGAGAGGGAGGGAACAGGGGAGGGAGAGGGAGGGGGATGGGGGAGGGAGAGGGAGGGAATAGGGGAGGGAGAGGGAGGGGATGGGAGAGGGAGAGGGAGGGGATAGGGGGTAGGATGGGGAGGGGGTGGGAAGGGAAGAGGGGGGGGGAGGACGAGGACGAGGAGGAGGACGACGACGACGAGGAGGAGGGGGAGGGGTTGGAGGAAAGGAAGGGAGAGAAGGAGGGGGAGGGGGAGGGAGAGGACGACACCCGTGGACCCAAGGCCAAAGATATCATTTATATTCTACGACGCAGTTTGTCAGAAATCTAATTAAATGTGTATCTTCGCACTCATGTGTTTTAATGAAGTACGAGAGTTGAAGGGGGAGTGAAGGAAGGTGGGAGAGAGAGGGGGGGGGGGGGGAAGGGATGGGAGAGGAGAGGGAGGGAGGGAGGGAGAGAGAAAGAGAGAGAGAGAAAGAGGGAGAGAGAGAGAGAGAAAGAGAGAGAGAGAGAAAGAGGGAGAAAGAGAGAGAGAGAAAGAGGGAGAGAAATTGATGATGAAAGAACGAGAGGGAAAAGGAAAAAAAAAAAAGAGAGATAGAAATAAAAAAATCTAAACAAACAAACAAACAAAAAAGTATTAAGACCAAAGAACCAACCAACCAAACAAAAACTATCCCTACAACATCCCCCCCACCCCCACCCCCCACAAAAAAAGCAAAGACAGGAGAAACAGCTTCGCAAAAATGACAAAACGGCCCTTAGCGAGGATTCTAATCGGCGCCGACCTAAGCTTATAAGAAGCTGGCTGTCGGCGAGGGACGAGCGGATGAAAGCTGGCGGTAAAACTGTCAAAAAACCCGGCGATATGTGAATCCTGTCTTCCCCGGCGCTGTCTCTCACTGTCCTTTCTCTCTGTCGCTACCCCACGCTATGCGTTCTGGGGTCAATCGTTTCTTGTTTCTCTCTCTCTCTTCTCTTCTCTTCTCTGTCTGTCTCTCTGTCTGTCTGTCTGTCTGTCTCTGTCGTCTGTCTGTCTGTCTCTCTCTCTCTCTCTCTCTCTCTCTGTCCGTCTCTCTCTCTCTCTCTCTCTCTCTCTCTCTCTCTCTCTCTCTCTCTCTCTCTCTCTCTCTCTCTCTCTCTCTCTCTCTCTCTCTCTCTCTCTCTCTCTCTCCCTTTGTCTGTCTGTCTGTCTGTCTGTCTGTCTGTCTGTCTGTCTCTCTCTCTCTCTCTCTCTCTCTCTCTCCTCTCTCTCTCTCTCTCTCTCTCCTCTTTCTCTCTCTCTCTCTCTCTCTCTCTCTCTCTCTTTCTCTCTCTCTCGCTCTCTCTCTCTCTCTCTCTCTCTCTCTCTCTCTCTCTCTCTCTCTCCTCTCTCTCTCTCTCCCACTCTCTCTCTCTCTCTCTCTCTCTCTCCCACTCTCTCTCTCTCTCTCTCTCTCTCTCTCTCTCTCTCTCTCTCTCTCTCTCTCTCTCTCTCTCTCTCTCTCTCTCTGCCCCCCTTCCAATCATTCCTTTATCTCTCCTCCAAACCCTTGTTTCAACTTTCTCTTCCTTCCATGCCTTTCTCTATTCTTCTTCTAATCCCCTTTTATTCTTCTCTTTCAATTCCTCTTTCGGTTTCCTTCTACCGAGGCCGCTTTTTATCTTGTTTTCCTAATTCTACTTTCTCTATCCCTCTCCTATCCCCGTCTTATTTTTCTTCTTCCTTACCATCCTCTTTCTATCCTTTCACACTTTTTGTATTCTCTCCCTATCCCTAATCCCTTTCCTTTATTTTCTTTCTGCCAATTCCTTCTTCTTCTATTTTTCTCTCCGTATCTCCCTTTCCTCCCTCCCTTTTCGAACCCTATTAAAAAAATATTCTTCCTCGTTTCCCTTCCTCTTCTTCTCTGTCTTCCCCTCTTCCCTTCTTCTCTCCCTCTTCCCTTCACCTTCTCCTCTTCCTCTCCATCCTTCCCTCTTCCCTTCCTCTCGCCCTCTTCCCTTCTTCTCTCCCTTTCCCTTCACCTTTCCCTCTTTCCTTCATCTTT